GGATCTTCTGTTTATGGAGTATAAAATCAAAATTCATAGCTGCTTAGTATTCTCGCTACTTTATTCTAGAGACATTGCTATAGCCGGGAGCGACTGGCCATCTGTTTAGAGAAAATCACAATCCAGCAGCGTTCATGTTGTCGAGGAATCAGAATCATCGTTCTCTGACAGTGTGCTGAGAGAGCTGGGCAGTTGGTTATTAGGAAAGATTCCTGCCAGGGGAAATCAGTGAGTCAAGCAGCGGGCAGAGTTGTTCATTTGTTATTCAGCTCAGGACGGAGACAATAATATGGTTATAGATCCAATCCTAAAGAATGCGTGACACCGATGACAACTCGCATACAGCACGCAGGATGCCTACGTGTCGTGACAGCTCCTCCATATGCAGCTCACGCCACCAATGATAAATATTACACAACACGAGTTTGACAAAAGAAAGAGAAAAGCCTGAATCTGTGGATTCAGTGGCTGCAGGTTGTTATTACTGCACATCTTAAATAACACCACCTGTCTTTTTCAATGTTCACTTTGCTTTTCTTCTGGCAGGAGACATGGGGAGATGTTTCCAAGCTGACAGAGCTCACCTTTTTCTTATTGTGCATTTTCGAAAAAAACTTGTAAGCCACTAATATAACGAACTGACCGACACTTCTCACAGGAGTATACGTGCTATGAAGAGAGCACATTTAATTACTGCTGTTAAGAGTTATTGCATGATTTGGAAACTTTTGCTGACTGTTGTTTTAATTATCTCAGGTTGCAGACGATGTGCAATGAGCCCCAGCAAATTACAGATCCTCTTTCAGTCAGTGCCATCCCGACAGCCATGGGAGATTAATTGGTGACTCTGAGCCTCACTGACTGCCAAGAGCGATGTGAGGGAAGAGCCTCCCCCCTGACCGAGGAATTGGACCGCTTAGCTTTCTGTTAAGGTTCACATCGTTTCTTTAGTTAGCATCAAAACCCCTTCTATTAGACAGCAAGTTCTCTACAGATTGAAAATTAATTAAATGTGTGTAACTTCAGCAGTCCCTCGGTCAAAAGACCTAGTCTGATGATATTGTGAAGCAGCGTGGGATCTTGGGAGTGGTTGTCTTTACCACTTTTTCTTATTTTAGTACGTTGTCGGTGAATCCACAGTATCCAAACCATTCAAGGCACAGTCAGGGCTGTATCTGTCAGTCCAGAGCAAGATAGCATGGTGCAGCTTATTTGCTAATGTTGTTAATTTGGTCACTTTTATTTACTTCTGAGGATCCACCTGAGTATCTTAACACCAGCCTCGAGTGCTGCTAGTAAAGTCCCTTAACAGGAGCAGGTTTAGGGCCCAGAAACAGCAGATATTTATTGCAAATTTAGTGGGCTCCTCTTGAGCCTCGGGCTCCACATATCACTCAGGATTTTATATCAAAGCCTACATACAGATTTTATACTGTGGATATCTCCATAAAAGTTCTCAGTATTTAAAAAAAACAACTAAACTATTATTAAAATGAAATTGAAATCTCTGGCTTCAGCATACTTTAATGATTAAATTTGCATTACTCTCACTACCACTATTTTTACAAGGGCAATTTCACAGCCATATGAATTATTAATCACGATATATGTGATTTGGTTATTATTTAATTTCTGTTCACAGATACTCTATCCTTCATCTTGTTAAACTTGGCCTGCCTTCATTGGAGTTT